GGGATTACAAGATCCGTTTTCAAAAGCATTTATGAACGCACTGTTAATGAATCAATTGGATATTTCAAAGATAAATATAAAATAGACGAAACTAAAACAAGTTTAATCAAACAATACTTTCAGACTAGTTTTCCTAATAAGATTTAACCTCTTTTAACGTATGACAACATCAAAGGAATGGGAGAACTTATACCATATGATTTGATTAAAAAGTACCAAAAAAACTTCATATTCTGTCCATTTGAAGCCGGTAATAATTATACGCTCACGGTTCAATTAACGCTCACGGGTCACTGAGCGTTTACAGAGGTTTTTCAAGGTTTGTATCTCAATGAAATCTCATTTTCCATCGGTGTACGCTGAAAGTTAACACGCTGTCTCAGTGAGCGTAAAGAACGCCCTTGTGGTAAAAGAAACAGGAAAAGTTTTCGTGGAAGATTCATTTAACGATTAACACTAGCAAGAATTACGGTCAAAATGCGATTGATCGATTCGTTAAAACTTCTCGATTACCAAGTGTTTTCTCTCCATGTTGCATAATTGTTCACTGGCTTCTACTCATTTCGCCTGTTCCTTTCGTAGCTGATCGGAGGCCAATGAAACCTCGATGTTATCAACAACCGCCGTACTTTACATATTGTAATTTGAGCATCTATAACCTGCTCATTTCAAGGAGACCCAACACACATTTAAACGTTTCGCGATTTGTGTCACGAGGCAAGATTTGAACATTTTCCAGCAATTAAGAGCATTTCATACCTTTATAGTGAGATCATTAAACCACGGGAACGTTCATGAAAAACGAGAATACAAAAATCAACAATCAAATATAAAGATGTCAATCGGCAGATTTGAAGTAGTCTTCTCAACAAAACCGCTGTACCATTATTTAACTGAAGGATGAGGGCTCCAACTTTGATGGACCGAAAATGTGCGTCCCTATGAGTGAAACTCGAGTTTCAATTATCACACGTTACGGTATAGAAAGACACGTGAAAGTGAGCACGGCGATGTATACAGACACTATCTGAGATCTCTATGGCGTCATAAGTAGTCGTGAACTCGGCCCAACGATCTCCAACGACGTTTTTCCACAGATTGAGCCATGTCGTGAAGCAGCTTCTCCACAGTGGAACGTGAGACTCGTAGCCGCATATCGTACTCCCATTCAACGTTTCCCGATGAGCATTCTAGATTGTCACTATTGTTATAATTCCAATTTTCAACATCATTTGTTCAATATTAAAACCAAACGACTTTAGTCCATTTTATGAGAATCTCAAATATTCACTCTTTTTTTGGCTCGGAGGCGAGTAACAAACACCCTTCTCAAACATCCACAGCTAGATGTCACTTAGTCTTTTACTACCTTTTCAGCAGACATCGTTAGGGGGCACCAAGAGTCAAGGAAGGATGCCGGAAGCCTGGAGAACAAGTACTATCGTCCCCATCTTCAAGCAGAAGGGTGACGCGATGGACTGCTCCAACTACCGCGGATCAAGTTGACTGCGCATACCATGAAGTTGTACGAGCGCTGGTCGACTCGAAACTGCGGGACCAGGAACAGTTCGGGTTCATGCCCGAAAGGTCTACAACGGATGCCATCTTCATCGCAAGGCAAGTGATGGAGAAGTATCGAGAAAAGCGCCGACCCTGCTACCTAGCCTTCCTCGACCTGGAGAAGGCGTTCGACCGGCTACCGCGAGCAGTACTATGGAGGTCGCTCAGGGAACGAAACGTGCCAGAACACCTGATCTCTCTGGTGAAGGACATGTACGAAGGAGCCAAGGCAGCTATACGCACCCCACACGGCCTAACGAAGGAGGTGGACATCACGGTTGGGGTGCACCAAGGGTCAGCTCTGAGCCCGTTCCTCTTCCTCCTAACACTAGATGTCCTGGTGAAGGGGCTCATGGAGGGACCACTGAAGACCATCCTCTACGCTGACGACATCGCCTGATAGCGGATAGCAGAGAGGAACTTCAAGCCAAGGTGCAGAAATGGCAGAAAGTCCTGGCAGAAGGTGGGCTCCGGCTGAATGTCAAGAAGACCAAGTTCCTGAGCTCCGAAGAGGGTGCAGAGCCGATCGTGGACGGCCATGGTGAGACCATCGAAAGAGTGGAGGACTTCCGATACCTTGGGAGCGATCTGGCAGCCGACGGTAGTGTGGATCAGGCAGTGAAGGCTCGGGTCAACGCTGCATGGATGAAATGGAGGGAGTCCACTGGAATCCTCTGCGATCGAAGGTGCTCCAGAACGCTCAAAGGGAAGGTGTACCGGACAGTGGTAAGGCCTGCGATGCTATACGGCAGCGAGTGCTGGCCCCTGAACAAGAATCACGAAAGGCAGCTTCACTCGCCGAAATGAGGATGCTGAGATGGGCCTGCGGCTGGACGCGGCTGGACAGGGTCAGAAACGAGGATGTCAGAGCGGTCATGCAGACTGCCCCTGTCCAGCTGAAGGTACGGGAACAGCGTCTGCGATGGTATGGGCATGTGCTAAGGAGGCCACAGGACCATCCGATAAGAAAAGCGATGGACTTCGAAGTGCAAGGCAAGCGACCGCGAGGAGCCCCAAAGAAGAGGTGGAGAGACGTGATCAAGAAGGACCTAAGTGAAGTCATGGCCACAGCAGAGGATGCCCTGGACAGAGTAAAGTGGCGACGACTGACAAAGACAGCGGACCCTGCGACTGCGCGGGACTAACGCTAGGGAGAAGATGAACAAGAGTGAGGATTTACAAGCAGTTGTCTGACCGCTTTAAACCTGACTGTGCTTTGCACTGTTAACTTTTGGGCTTGTTTTAAAGCTTACACAGAAATTACAGCTTACTCTCCTTTTTGCTGGTTTTTCAGGTTCGAAGGGAAACGTTCACGGGGTGATTGCGGCGAGTTGACCATTCGGTACTTTCCTTTTAGGTACATAGTGCATCAAAAAGCGATTCGAGCCCAAAAGACGAGCGATTCATTAGAGAAAATATAGTCTGCGAGAAAAAAGTGCTCCTTTGTTCGTAGTAAATACCATACAAGTTGGTAAAATTTCTCGAAATTGAATGGTTCTGTCATAACCCTATATCCCAGGTTTTCAATTTTTAAAGACACTCACGTTGCAGGTTTAGGTCTTTAGTCAGTGGTGGATACCATGTGAATCGCGATGAAACCATAGATCTGCAGAAAATGATTATTACATTTCTGCTCGAAGGTACACAATAAAGGCTGGTATAACTGATTTCGAATCGGAAATGAAACAGTGGCATGTGACGCCGCTTCTTACGCGCACGGTCCAAGGATCAGATCCCAGATCGAATTCCGCCTAAACCAACTATTAGGTTGGAAAGAAAGTTCTGCGACACTCTTTCTAAAATTTTCTTTTTTTCTGAAAAATCATAGGTAACATTTATGACTAACAAATGGTAGAGCATTCTCGAGGCTTTAATCCACGAGGTGGATATAAGTGCTGCAGTCAATAGTTAAAATAAGGATAAAGGATAAAGCATTTGCCGTTGATCAATCCCTTTTTGGGATGCGGCACGCATTCTACTTCCATTTGTACATTCGTAGTGGCGTTTGAATGCGATGTGGCCTATACAATGACTTGCGGGGGCCAGCCGATGTACAAGTCAGTGTTTTTATCCTCCCAGACAAGTCTGGTACCAATTAACCGACCCCGGAGGGATGGAAGGCTTGGTTGGCCCGGGCGACTCACGACCCAGGATTTGATCCCGGACCGCTCGCGTGGTAAGCGCGCCACTTGCCACTACACCACTTCCGCCCCAGTCAATAGTTAACCTAGAAAATTCAAAAAACCTCGACCACTGGTAAATCCGTACTCCGAGTCACTGTCTAGTACAAATGTCTCCATAACTGTGGATTCGTGTCAAAGACCAACACTATCTGCAAGCTTCAATAGGCATGCCGTTCACCGCTACAGCGTGTTTCACCTTTACCAGCGCTTTCGATCTTTTGATATTTTTATAAGAAGCCAGCAGCGTCCCTACACACTCCATTACAGGTAGGGCTCTTACGGAAGCTCCACTACAAATTCTTCGTTATGGGCACCATTGTGTAGGTAGAGGTCTAGGCTGCGAACTCCAGAAGCTGGCCGAGGCAGCTCGTCAGGAGCCCTCGTACCGCGACAATATTTATTTCTTTCATGACATTGCGAATCACCATGATCCGAAATGAGCCCGGTAAGAAATTCTGGAGCTGCGGCAAGATTTCTTACCTCTCTTAGCGTATTCCCCTGGTCGAGCTATAAATGACTGCCATCCTGGACCTTAAATCATCATCTTGATGACGAAATAATTAGACGATCAACTCCAACTCGAAAGTGAGGTCGCCTCCTTTCTCGACCCGCACTCCGCTGGGTTTTGGCAAAGGAGCATCAAGAAATTTTCTGAGCGTTGAAGACAAGTGGTGGACACTCATGGTAGATATAAGACCGGTCAGGAGTTGTAACAAAAAAGATAAAATTAAAATCAAAAATTTGAAAAAGTGTTGCAGGACTTTCTTTCCAACCTAATATGTCCTCCATCATTCGGGGTATGTCATATACAGAAACTTCTGCGAGAATGAACCACGACTTCTATATAGGCAGCCAATGACGCTCACATTTAGAGGCAAAATTGCATTCCATTGTCTCTGCGATCCTGAATGGGAAGTGGGAGCGTGGCGCACCCCAAAAAGTATTGATCGCCGAGTGCTTTATTTTATCCTTATTGAACTGATAACGCGAAACTCCATCAAATTCGAGCTGAAAAACCCGCTTATCGTCACTTTTCACAAACATTTCGCGAAGCCACGTCTCATTGTAAGTCATAACACGTTATCTAATCTACGCGTACTTTAATGTTGTTTACATGCGTTCTCGGAGACCTGGAGAATCAGAGAATCGAAAAATGGTTTCTTTTAAGATGCAGAGACAGAGTTCATCCCTATCTACTTCTTTCAACAAATTCGTCGGTTCTTTGAGGTCGCAGTCAGCGAAAAATGCCATCCCCGACTGCACAGGGCAAGCAAGGGTTTTGGTGAACCTGAATAGAGAATAACTTCTGCTTCCTTCAAAGTCGAGCCGTCATAGAAAAGTTGACAACTGACATAACAACTTACTTTTTCGGTCCCTCTCGGAAACCGTCACGCTTTCATTTTTCTTTTTTTTTGTTTAGCATTTGACGAAGATTTGAGCTGTAACGACTTGATAGGACCATGCAGACCAGGCGTCAGTATTTTCATTACTGCAGACGGCTCAGGTCTTGCCGTCCGGCTTCACAGCTAGACTTGATAGGCTCGGACGGAATTCGATCACGATTGATCTCTGCATCATATTTGCAGCAGGCGTCGCCTCTTGCCACTGTCTCTATTATTATAGCTCAAGCCACTTATTTATGCAAAACTCAATTACCTCAAATGGGAGAAAAGTCCATCTGGAACCGTTGAACGATCGCTTTCTTTCATTCCATGGAGCATAAAGTCCCTTTCGGAGCTCCATAGGCTGTCTGTTATCCATATGTCACGAACCCATCCAGTGCCCTTAATTTAGTCAGGGTATGAATTCGCAGACAACACTAACTCTCTCACAAGGAGAAATCCTAAAAAGCAGTACAAGAAAACTGAGTACCGAGGCGAGGGATCAGACTCGCAGACAAGAGAAAGCGTGAAGACCGGGCAAGACGCAGACACCAGCACATTTGCAACGTGGGCGCGCCTAATTAGGTGAGGTTGCATAATAACAGTCACAAGCCCGGTTCAAGGGCTCTAGGGCCCCGACAGAGCGGGAAGTGGCACTACGGGTATCTCATTTATAGGAGGGATTCTGATTTCCTAACCCTTCAGTTATGGTGCAAAGTCCACAAGTGAAGAGATAGGAAATCAGAAGTCCAACTTTTCATGCCAATGAGACGCAGTGCTTGATGGCACTGACTGGTTCGAATGGTTCATTAGACACAGAATTTACGGACTTCCGGGAGTGGTCCTTTACCCGATCATCAGTACGGTACTCGCCGTAAAAAACGTCAAAAACACGCGAAAAACGCGAATTCGCGTTTTTTTTCGTTTTTTCGTTATAACTCGGTTCAAAATTGAGATTTTCAAAATCTGAAAAAAGCATTGAACTCAGCTCGTCGAGTTCTATAAGAATATGCTTTTAAACTTTTGGAAAGCCCTACTTCAGATTGCGCCATGCACTCGAGCTTTGGCTCGAGAAAAAATTGTTTGAATGTGGTGCGCATATAATCCCGCTTATGCATCATGATCGTTCTTCAGAGAGATGGGTCTCAGCAGTTGCCCCAGAACGCGCCGCGTATTCAACATCGTCCATTGTATTGTGAATGGATCGATTGCTTTTTTCCAGATTTCATGGTCCCTATTCCATAGCGGCGCGTTAAATGACTTAACACGTACATGACTGCGCTCAACATCTCCTCCTCTCGTGTTCAAATGGAAATCATAGATCAATTCTCGGCTGGACAGTTAGCCTATTTGGTGAAATTTTCCAATGTTTGAGCGAAGGTTTTTCCGAAATCTGAGGAGGTAGCGGGGAAATTTCTTCACAGTTGTAGAGTACGCTTACTTGTGTGTAGGAATAAGATCACACACTTGCTTGCAGATGACCGCTCCCTCCGTGCTGTGGCCATGAACATGCCTCCTCGTCATGCCCTAGCCTATTTGGTGAAATTTTCCAATGTTTGAGCGAAGGTTTTTCCGAAATCTGAGGCAGATAAGACAACTCGGCTAGCCTAGCTCCGGCTTTCCGCCTCGCAGCAGGACTTATGCGCTACTCCCAACACTCTTACCGACGCGAACTCCAAACGCTGTGCATTAAAATTCATCTTTATGCATTATAGAAAAAAACAGTAGTAAAAGGTCTAGAGGCGAAAGCGAGAGAAGGTAACAGAACATCTAAGCTCACCTTTCGCACGATTCGCACTTTCTCGAAAGTCCTCCGAGATCCGATTATCGATCGAATGCATGATTCGTACAGGAATAAATCATCGAAACCGCTGGATTGATGCCAAATCGAAGTAGCATACGTGAGCATCACGTCGGTTATCTGGTGCTAATGTCTCAAGAAGATATGCCTAGAAGTACTGTGATCATCTTTCACAAACACAAAACACCAAGGAAAATATAAGTAAGCTTCCACCTTGAAAGCCTATAGGTTAAGAACAATGTCACTCATGTTAAGGAGTAGGTTAACATATTCGTAATTCTTTGTAAATCCACCTGTTTAGAAATATCCTATTTATGGTTTAAAAAAAACTACCTTGCAATCCGAAAAGGCATTAGAAGAGCTACGTATCAGAAAAGGGATCAGGTTACGGCGAAGTATCGAGAAAAGCGCCGATCGTGCTGTCCAGCCTTTCTCGACCTGTGAAAGTCATTCGACTTCCTCCTAGTACGAGCTATACCATAGAGAGCCTTCGAAGAACGGAGTGAACCAGAACTGGTCTCTCTGGTGAAGATCTGTACGATGGGGGCAGGCAGGGCATTCGCATGGCCAGGCAAACGGGTAGAGTTACAGTTGGAGTGCACCAGATCAGCACTACGTGAGCCCCTTCTTCTCCTTCCTGATGCTAGATCTCCTCGTGAAGGGGCTCATGGAGAGACTACTAAAGACCATCCTCGCCACACTCATAGTGCATCGCCGAGTCTTGTCTCAACCCATTGGTGACAGTGCGATTTTTCCGCGTGTCTGTGGGACCAAGCCACTTTTTCAATATTTTCGAAAAATTCGTCATAATGCAGCCACTACCTCCACAAAAATGTTGATTTTAAAGCAGAAACTGTTGAGAATTTACACGTCTCAGATTGCAGCCGATCGCTACCGAAATGAGCGTGAATCTTTTCATTTTGTCCAAGGTGGGTTCCGCAGCGAGCCGGGAACACTTTAATTTTCTATTCTAAAATTCGCCTAAATTTGGGGTCAGATCCAGAGATCTTTTTGTGAAAAGTTGTATCACTACTCTAGCTAATGGAAAACAAAAAGCCAGCCTTATACATTCGAAAATAGCAAGCTTTCCTTTGAAAAATCACTTTCAAGATCCCCTTATGTAAAACATCAATTAAGAAAGATATGCAAGGACCATGATTACCATTCGCCTTATGTAAAGCTTCAATTAAGAAAGATATGCAAGGACCATGATTACCATAAGTACTGCAACGCCTTCCTGATTGGTATGCCACTAAAATGATTTTGGAAATCCTGCGCAGAAGAATTATCTCTATGCTGCGTCCCCACATCGAGCCGCATTGTCCCACGTGGCAAAAAAGTGCGTCCCCACATCGAGCCGCAATGTCGCCAATGGGTTAGACAAGACATCGAAAGGTGTTTCACTCCGCTCTAAGAAGGACGCTGAGTGGCAGACTGTCATTCTCCAAGCCAAGAAGCGTGAGAAAAAGTTCTGCGGTGGTATGGGCATGTGCTTCTCGTAGCGCAAGGCGAGCGACCGCGAGGATCCTCAAAGAAGAGGTGGAAGGACGTGATCAAGAAGGACCTAAAAATCACGGCCACTGCAGAAGATGCCCTAGACAGAGCGAAGTGGCGACGACTGATAAAAAAGCGGACCCTGCGACTGCGCGGGACTAATGCTAGGGAGATGAGGATGATTTTCCCTTTCCACTCTTAATAACAACACCTCTAGCCCAACATTTTCGCCACAGAGGCAACTGTCCACATCCATGTAATGAGAAGAAGAAGGCACTGCGTAGTAAACAATGCCACTCACCACTACATCATCTCCCCTCATTGCTACGGTTTTTTTTCCAAAATGCTTGCTCTTTATGTGACACAAATCGAAAATATGCCCGCATTGAAGTAGAAAAAGAATGTTGCGAAAAATCTCGGCCGACTCACGTGAATGGCACCGTTATCGCTTCCGTGAAATGAGTTAGGTAGATGGGTTTCGAAGTTCGCGAAATTCATCAGGAATGTTCGAGAAAACTGCGTATTTCGCACTATGTACGATCCCATTGCCACCTCCCAACTGCAGAATCGATCGTAAAAAGTGATATCGTAACGAGCGTCGATATATTCTTCAATTAACCTGAAATTGAAATCAATATCAACATTACAATTGACCTTTACCGTCTGGCTGTTCTTCCCAACTTGTCACAGCACTGTTGCGCCATGCCTTTGCGCTTGGTTCTATATGTACTACCAATGATTCGATCTTGCTGGACAATTCTGATATCAGACGGTTTCTGGTCTACACTGTGGCTAAACGCATGTTCTCCCATCGATAAGGTGTGCCTGGGTAAATGAACGTGTTTTTGGTGATTGGTTGGCAGAAGGGCATTGATTAGCTCGAACTGTAGACCGTATCCTTCAGAATTTTACAATTTTATCACCTATAAGAATAGCTGACCAATAAAACCCTTGTAAGGACGAAGCGCAACCTCTGTCCCTCCCCCAAATTGAAGAGCCATGTAATTCTAAAGCTCTTCGCAGTTTTTTTTTCTGTTTTCTTTATTACTGATAGAACCACCACCACAACTAGGTTCATGGTCGCACGCAATATCCCACGCGCGGAAGTGCCTTTAAATTGCTACTACACCTGTATTATGCCATCACCACTTCTGATTTCCTGACCCTTCAGTGAAAGTGAAAAAGATCAAATCAATTGTTTTGTTCTCAAATTATTGCAAACGCGTGGCGCACTCCATGGGCATTTATCAGCACTTTCTTCTCATTACTGGACCTCAGGAAAACCTAGTTGAGAGGCCGAGTAGTTAAAAGGTTTTTTGAAAGTCAGAAAATTCTTACCTTGTTGGGTTTACAACACCAATGTCAGCGTCGATAAATAATACCCACTCAGTAGTCTTCAGTATTTCAGCGACGACGCAGTGCCGTCGAAACATTGTCTGTGATAAGTAGAAGGTACTAATAGTCATTACGGTAAATCACTTTCAGCAATAATAGATTCTTCAGGCTATTCCTATGGAATGAATTTCAAAAAGAGGAAGCAACAGTAAAAACCTACGTCCCTCTGTCGGCACCGTGTGTATTCATTACCGTTCACAACCAATAAGTGGTAGTTGTGCATAAGTGAATAGCATCGTACCGTATCCAGAGCGAACCTTTAACGAATAGTTTCGTACCACAGTCGGGAACCATTGGTGGCTCCCCTGATCCACCCCGGTGGCAGACCGTATGGGCTGCCATCTAACAATACCCACCAACCGTTTGTCATGGTTCTTTACACATTTTTGATATCAGAGTATTTAACATTTCATAGAACACTTTAATCGTGCTATTTATGTTTTTGTTCATTGTTACGAAAAACCGCTGATGTTATGAGGCGGCATAAAATCGCGTCTATCCCACCAAGAAGCGAAGAGGGCGCCGCCGTGAATGTGTTTAGAGCTCAGGCTGGACGAAATAAAGTTCATGAGCGAGAAATATGGAGCAGAAGGCAAGCGCAGGGCGAGTACACACTTGGCCACGAAGTAAAAAGTCAAGAACGATCCCCTGTTCGGTTGCCTCGATAGGACACGCTTTAAGAATACACATGTATTAATATTAATCAAATGACAACCACCATTTTGCCAATTCCACGCTTCTTTGGAGGAATTTTCGTCGAAATCATTCAAAACCCATCAAGAAGCATTCCTCTTTCAAGTGACCAGAACCCTACAATTTCCAGAAGTGCGACCCCTTCAACCTTTTGAGCTTGTCAACTCCAATTACGATTCTCTCACAAAACTTGCGATTCCCTGCCTGGATCAATCAGACGGGTGGTTGACCGTGGTTTTCAGATTGTTAACACTTTGCCAGAACTACAAATTTCGATGTGATGATATGAACACTTAATTCCTCACTTGTATTCTTCTTTTTGAGATTCCTCGTTGATCACAACGACAATAGATATATTCAAGGAGCGATATGAGGATCGCTTCGAATTCAACTCGAGGCTATCATCGTGCACCATGTACTAAAATTTTCTATTAACAAAACTCAGCACAGTAGATTGTATAACTCAATGTGAAGTAAATGAGTATTCCGTCTCACTCTTCTGGATGCGCGCCAGAACTCCCGAAAAAGCTTCTTCTATAAAGCAGTTACGTATCATAGGCCTCAGCTGAAGAAGCTTGAAGTCCGAAGTCAAACCAGATAGGCCTCTAATCCCTCCTAGGTAAACTAGCTGACACCAGACCTGTTCGGGAGGATACAAGCACCACCTAGTCCTGATTTTCGACCTGTTGATTGTTGACTGCCTGTTTTCCGCTGCAGTATCGGCTGCGAAAGGTTCATCCCTGTGCTTTATTGGCCAAATTTGTTTCATTTCTTCAAATTTAGCCAGTTAACCTGGCAAACCTCTTTGCCTAAGACAGGAATCTTTTGTGGGTCGGCGGAGCAACTTTTCGCTTTCCGCAACCCAAAACTTTCCGCTGTGGTAACCTTAGGCCCATTCATGATCAAGGGTGGACCTTGGGTTTCTGCAGCGAAAAGTTTCGCGTGTCTCAGCGACTCATACCCGGCCCGCACCCCTCGCTCTTCGAGCCGTTGGGCTACCTGTGCTGGTTTCCGCCCATAGCCCAGCATTCTTCTGATAAACATCTGTGCACTAGGTGACCCGCAAAAGCCATATACTATGTAGATCGGGCTACTCGCATGAACTCCACTACCATGTGAAAGGAAGTAATCGGTGCGATGCAACATGGAAAAATCGGCGCCACGCACGTCATCATTTTGAGTAGCTCTAGCGACTTTTTTCCTTTTTTAGTCTCATGTTCCGGGTAATCCGGTACGGGTCAGACAGTGCGATGTTATCGAGTGGCGCACTGGTTTCGCTCATCTTGGAAGAATTAATTACCGAACTGCGTTCAGGTGAAGGCGCTTCTAAGTAAAAAGAAAGGAACCAAGAAAAACCAAATATTAGCGAGGTGGTCCAACGGCAGTAAGCGTTTCAACGTATACGCACTGTACAGGGTCGGTCGGTCTAAGTATGAGCAAAAGACCAATTACTATTCTAAACGAACGACGGACCTAGCCCTGGACATGACTAGAAAGGTGACCCTGACAATGAGATCCACGAACCCGGGCTGAGGTCGCCAAGCTTCTAATGAGTCATACTGATAGTAAAAGGTAGCTCATTTTAGAGTCAAGTTCATGGCGCACCCCCTAGTCTGTCAAATTTTTGAGTTTTTTCATATTATGTTTTCACATTATGCAAGCCTTTGGCAGAAGCTCAACTTGCAATTTCTGTTGATAGCTACCTTTCCAACTTCGTAGGAAAGGTAGCTATCAACAGAAATTTCACAAGAATGCTGGGTTGTGAACAAAACTTTCGCCCCAGGCGGGACTAGAACCCGCACCTCTTGCTTTCCGGGCAAGTGCGCTACCAGTTACGCTACCGGGGCACCATTTCATTCCAACTCAGCTTTTCATGGTACAAATAAGTTAATTAACAGACCA